CCCCAGCCTCTGCTGGACACCTCTTAGGACTTCTTCTATCTCCTTCTGGATGTTGCACACAACCTCTTCCATCAGCCCCACATCAGCTATTCCTTTCCAGAACATCAGCGTGTCCTCTGGCAAAAGGAGAGGGGAAAAGAAGTCAACATGTCCAAGCACTTGGTGTTTTTCCCCACAAGGCTACCTTAAACCTTTCAGGCAAGAATAACTTTGCAGGACAACTTCTAACTTGGCCATTGGGGTGGATATGACATGCAAAAAAAAAACAAACCCAAAAACCAAAACTCAAAAGAAGGAAAATGGATCCAGGCAGCAGTAACGTGTTTCCAAGCAGCACCATGACTTCCAAAGCAACACTTCACTGCCTCTGTTCATCTTCGCAAGATGCAGAGCTTAAAATCTTTGTTTGAGGAAATTCTGCCAAAGCTTCCGTACTGCTCCTAAGAGGGAATGCAAGGCACGGCGGCCAGAGAGACACAGCCAAGAGAGCTGACAGGACACTAACAGGGGGCACTAACAGGGGGCACTAACAGGGGGCACTAACAGGGGGCACTGCTCACTGACGGTTTCAGTCTGGCTCCAGCCTGGCAGACGTTTACATCCTCAGAATGAACAAAAAAAAGAAGAAAAAAAAAAAAAGCCCCTCACTGTAACTAGTAGCAACAGATCTGGGGGATCAGCCACTGGCCACAAAGTGAGGGCTGAAGTCCCTCTCTGCCTGCAGCCGTGAGCAGCTCTGTTTGGCAGGGACCCAAATTCTCCTTATTTTCAGGATTTCAGTCTCCAGATCATAACAGGCGAGGAGAGGGGAAGAAAACACCCAACAAGCAGCTGGAGCTTACCTGAGATCTCATCCGTGTCCTTTTTCACGCCTTCCTCAGTGGCCATGGTGACGGCAGCCGTCAGAGCCGAGTTCCACTCGATCCCCTCCTCCATGCTCTCCTCCGACAGCGCGATCTGGGTGATGCTCCCTGCCAGAGAGGCAACGTCAGCTCTCTCTGCAGCACCCGGAGTGCCAGCCCTGAATCCCTGCTTTGCTTTCAACCCCCTTCACCCCTCCCAGGCTGTTTTTCACTCTCATCGTCAAGTTGGTTGTGCCTGGCTTTTTTCAACTAAATTAGCTAAAAGCAAATATCGCTGCTTCTCATCGGAACTGTGGTTGGGAAAGGCTCCGGGGCTTCTGGAGGGAAAACCACATGCCCTCCAGAAAGCAAACTGGAGTCCTGGCATAAAAGGAGCAGAAAAGGATCAGAATAAAGAAGGGAACAAATAAAGCTCAGCCCAGTCACCCTTCTCCCCTTGCATCACCCACAGGGAGCTCTGTACCCTAGAGATGCCCTGATCTCCAAGGAAATGACAGAGCCAGGGTCCAAGCTGGTTTATAGAAGGGAAACAGATCTGACTCAATCCTAAGTTTCTGGATCAAATTTGGGACTAAGCCCATGTGTAGCTGCTATAAGGTTTTACCACGTGGCCGTGATGCTCCTCCTTAGCCTATGGACAACTCTGCCATCTCACCCAGGGCCTCAGAGGAATGTAACCTGCCCAGCTGAACGATGTGGTGCAGTTGGGAGTAGTCTTCTCCCTTAACCTCAGCAAAGAGATCACTTTCTGCTCTGAAGCACGGGATTCGCTGAGAATTTGCAGTTGGAATGACAATCAAATCATGTCCAGCCTTCATACCCTGTTCCTGGACTTCCAGAGGATGCAGAGCAAGCTGCTCCAGAGGAGGTCAGCATGCCTAGATTCATTTCTGAGCATCAACTCATCTTTGTGCCCTTTGTAACACACCCTCAAATAGGACATCATGAAACACTGTACAAACTCTCAGCTGTTTGCTCACAGGGTGACCCCACAACAGGGATGCCTTCAAGGTGAGCATCCCCTGGCTCCCAAGGCTGCCTCTAGTCACTGCTTAATACCGGCTGCTTTCCAGCCCTCACATTATTACGGAGCAGAGCTCCCTAACGGATGCTGCTGAGACCTCTCCAAGCGGACTCAAGGAGCGTTTGCCTCCCCAGACACCAGAGCAGTCTGCTGAATGGTGGGACTGCCCTGCTATGCCCCTGTGAGGGGGCCAACCCGAACTGATCAGCCCAGGGAGGCAGAGGAGCATCGGAGGGAAGCTCCCATGACACTGCTAACTGGTTTCCTACCGTCGGCCGACGTAGGAGTCTGCACCACGCTCTGCTGCCCCGGCACCGGTGCTCTGGCGCTGCTGATCAGGAGATCAAACTTGGTGCTTCGACAGGTGTTGGTGCAAACTTTATCGTGCTGGTAGAAGTCAATTTGCCCCGAGTCCATCATCTTCCTGTGCAGGGAGTGGGGAGAGAACCAGGCTCAGCTCAAATCTCAGCCTGGAGACAAAAGGGAGTATTCCATGTAGGAACGCTACGGCCATGGGAAGGATGGAGAAAGGGAGACCCAGCGCCACTCAGCACACAAAACATCTCCTGCAGGGCTTTCAAATGGCAAGTGCCAGCCATCCCCCAGCTTCACATACAGGGCTCCAGTCCTGTTCCACCCCCACCAAGTACCAGGTCCCCCAGGCGAGGCCACTTCTGCACAGGATGAGGAATCCTGCCCCTCAGACCATGGGGCCAGGATCTCTGCAGGCTGCTGGCCAGGTAACGTGAGCTTCCAAGAGATCTCCCGGGGACTGCAAAGCAGACAAAATGCCTGCTTGGGATCCTGCAGCTGCACTGATGAAGCCCTGAAGCTGGACACAGTGGTAGGCAAGTCAAATACCTCAGCATGATTCCTCCGAGGCGAATGGCTCTCTTCCAGTCCTTTAGGGTAGACTTCCCAGCCAGGTGAACAAAATGCTTCGGGCTGATCAGTTGGTCATTGAACTGACAGGAGATAAACAAAGGCTCAGCAAACCCAGGGTAGCATCGCTTAGGAAGACTGTATCGGGACATCCAACACAGCCAGTCCACAGCTCATCTAAGCCCTCACTTCTACACAGAAAGAGGAGCTCCTTTTCAACTCGCTACCAGCTTTGAACCCCTTGGTGCAGCAAAGCCTGGAACTCCACCATGGATGTGTCTGCAGGCATGACCTGCCAAGAACTGCCCTGAAGGCTTTCGTACAGCTCACAGCTCCTCTGTGAGCATGTACAGTCACCTTGGGGATGGTTCCAAGGGACTCCCATTACCTCAAAAAGCTGAGCAATGTTTAGCTGACACAGGTATCCACCTGGGATACCTGTTCTGTTCCCTTGTCAAGTGCCAAATATGACCCTGCTTTAAAGAGTAATGAAGAGCAACGCTGAAACATACGGAGAGTGAGAGGCCTTCCCTCCTTAACCCGCTCCTCCCCAACTTCTCCCCATGCTAGAAACAGTTTTAGTGCTAACAATCCAGCACGCTGCAAAGGTAAAGTCACTCGGCTCCAGGACAAGGCTCAGATGAAACACAAAAAGTAAGAAAGTCCTGTGGGGGCCAAACACCAGATCCTGAGAGCAGAGAAGGAACCTACTGCGAAAACTCCCTTACCTTTACACACTTGACATTAATTCCTGGACAGACAAACTTCTTCCAGAGCAGGATGGCTTTGCTCTCCCCGCAGGTGATGGGATAGGCGATCTCGATTTCCTCGTTCGTTTCAATGGTGCTGGGGTCTGAGGAAGGAAGAGGTGAAAGATGAAACTTTCCACCTAAGAAGCTCAAATCTCATAAGGTGGGAGCTGAAAACTCACAGGTTGTGAGACCTACACTCAGGAAATCAAAAGAAGGGCCGTTCCCAGTTCAGGATCAGTCCTCTTTTAGTCTTCTCCAATTACTAGCTCTGCCAGCAACTGGCATCTGCTTTTTAATATAGCAACACTCAAAATGAAGCTCATCTCTCAGGAGAACATCAGATCAGAAATCCAACATATCTGTAAGGGGGGAGGGGTCAATGACAACAATCTTGGTGGGAAAACACAGCTTTAAAATTTGAAGCAGAGATGTCTCTCGCATTTCTTGGAGCTCTGGTATCTCTTTAGCAGCAATATCAGCTATTTACTGACAACACATTCTCTTCACACGTGGAGTTTCTGCTAATACTGCCACGAGACCCCCACCCACACAGGAAGCAGAATGCCAGTCAAGATCTGGTGACAGCACCTAATGACAGAAGCCTTTTCCCACATAGTCCTCAGGATGGCAGGGAGCACTCGGAGCCAACCTGCTCGGTTCTTCTGAACATCCAACCCAAACTGTCAGGCTGCTCGTTCAGCAAAGCAGCAGTAATCAGAGTGATGCTTCAGCCAGCAGCAGGCACAACCACCATCCTCATAACCACCGTTCCTGCCCGCTAGCGTTGCACACCAAGACCAGGGTGAAACCTCGGCTCCCCTGGACCCCGTGGGAGCCCTTACCATTCATTGCAGGAGAGCCAGGATCTCAGTTCCAGGACTTTGAGACCAAGCAGTAACAGCAGACTCTTATTCCAGAGTATGCCCAGACCCTGCACCCACATCCATGCCTGGGAAACAGCATCTGCAGGAGCAGAGCCAGAAGGAAGCCCAGCGAACCGGAGGCACCAGCTCCGTGGCGACCAGCCCTGCAGAGGAGGGGACTGTGCCCACGCCAAGCGAGAACTCACCGATCCCTTCTTCTAGCTTGTGGTGGGTGTGGGTTTCGCCGGCCACTACGGCAGCGCTGGCCTCGGAGCCCTCTTGGTAAATCCTGTTGTGAAAGCATCCATCCATAAACGAACTATATAAACCACGGGAAATTCAGACTCACCACGCGGGGTTAAAAATCCAGTTGATTTCTTTCTTGCCTGTCCTCCAGGGAAGTGGATTTCGTTTGATACTGTTTCAATCACGGGCATTTTTTGGCACACACCAAATAGGATAATAATCCCAAGGACTGAACCGTGCAGAGGCGTTCCCAGTCCTGCCATCGCACCCTCCGCGTTGCCGGCACCGCTGAAACGGCTCCGCAGTGCGCTTCCCTGTGCCTTCTCCTCTGGTTTCTGACACAGGATGCAGAGCTCAGTGCCCCAGGATTCCCCCTCCAGCCCTGGGTGACACTGCAGCACGGGTGCTCCCGCAGGGCAGAGTCACCGTCAGGCCTACAGCCACCCTGCTCTCCAAATATTATCAAACTGGAGCCAGGATATTTATGTCCTGATCGATCCAGAGTTAAGACGAAGCACCTGGTGGCAGCTGAT